TTGTTCGTTTGCCCGAAAACGCTTAAAATGTTGAAAACAGTCCAGGGCCTCCAATTTTTTAGCTACAAAAGAGTTTTTTTTCAAAATTTTCGGAAAATTGTGTGGAATAACAATTACGAGCCAGTCTTTTGAACTTCGACTCCTACACAGTTGATTTTGGTTCTTTTCAAAAAAAAAAAAATTCATCATTTGTGTAAAAACATACAAAAAAAGCAAATTTAGCCATGTAAGAGGCGAATTAAAAAAATAGCTCGTAATTGTTATTCCACATATTTTTCGGAAAATTTTGAAACAAAAAAATCTTTCGTAGCTCAAAAATTGGAGGCCCTGGGCTGTTTTTGGCATTTTAAGCGTTTTCGGGCGAACGAACAATAAAAAAATTTTTGTTTGCACTAATTATTCATGTTTAGATCTATATAATCGATCTTCAACATACGAAAAATCTCACTCCAATAACCCATGACTTTTAAAACTCATAGTAGTCTCCCCTTAAGTCAATTTAGTCTTCAGTTGAGTTTTCCAGAAATATTTCCGAATTTAAGGGAGATAGCGAAATTTTCATAATAACTTTTTTTGTTGAGCGAATTGAGTGCTAGTAAAAAGGTTATGGGAAAAATTTTGCTTTCTCCATTAGATTTCGAGATATTCATTGAAAACTGGCCAATAGCCAAAATCGACTTAAACCGTTTGACCACTTCGCTACTGAATTGTGTTTATTGTTTAAAAATTTGACAACATGTTTACAGTATTTCCAATCAAAATACGGAGATAGTTGATTTAAAATGAAATGAAAAATAAAAATACAGGACGAAAACTTCCCATATGAATCAATTAAAAAATTGAAATTCCTGACATTTTATTTCATTTATTGAGAATATTTTCATACATTTGTTTATTCATATTTTATAAACAGGGCTTAACAACGGCCCTGAGGATAAATATATGAAGTCATTCATTTCCAACGAAAATATTACTGATATGAATAAATAATTGTCATTTTTTTCTCTCAAATAAATGTAAATTATGAGAATTTCAAAATAATTTCCAATCGCATTACTGTATTGTAAAAATATCCAAAATTTTCGTAAAAACATGCGTTTACAATTTCCCTCTGCCCATTTGTTTGCCACGTGCGAGTGAAAACCTCGGTGACAAACAGAATAAAGCCTTTCCTTTCTGTTGGGGAAAATATTTGGGAAGTTTTAATGGACTCACCCCTTTTTTTATGATGCTCTTGGGGCCCGAGAAAGTGTTCCAGCGTCTTCCGACGGCCAGCGGCGGGTTAATCCCCGCTGGTCACTCTCTCCCTCCAGTGCAAAAAAAAGGGGTCAAGAATATTTTCAGCAAAAAAAAGGGTTGACTCTCTCCTGCGGAAAGCCTTGACAAGGGGGGACGAGGGCAAATGGTCAAGAAAATTGTGGAGCAAAAAAAAAGGGTTGACTCGCCCTCACGGGGACCCTCAAGATTCCCAAGGACCCATTATAAAGTTTATAGAGACACGCTTTTCGGTAAATGAGGGATTAAAAATTCGTTTATTGAAGGTGGGTACACGTTTTTCCCGTGTTTATTGATGGGGTCTTTATTGCCTTTTTTCACCCCTTTTGAATTTGCCCGGATTAGGGAAAAATTTGTGATATTTTATGGCGTTGTTAAAATCCTTTTCGGTATTGTTTCGGGACTTTCCCCGGGGGTAGGCACCTGAGGGATTATCGAGTAGTTTGGGGTTTTATTCAAAGCGTTGGAAATTTTAATGACGAGATTATTATTGCTGAGATGTTTGGCGAATCGGTTATTTGAGTATTCAGGAGTATTTGCGCCTAGATAAATGACGCGTTTGAAGCAGATAAACTGCTTTATTGCAAATTTTTATATTGGCATCAATAACATTTTGGAGGACAACGATTTCCCGTATTTTTTACGAAAAGGAAATGTTAAAAAAATTTCAAAAAATCTGAAAAATCGCCGTTTTTAAGGGAATACGTCAGTGAAATTTAAAAGTCTTCACTGGGCCTTGGAACCCATTGAACAGTTTGTCATATATGACGGAAAATGGGAATAACTATTAGGAATAATCATGGACCTGATCGATTTTGCTCAGTATAACCACGAAAAACTTTATTCCTTTCCACGGAGAGAAATATTTAATAAAAATGACGTATCTTTTCCGTAATTCCGGAGCGAAATGTGGTTGGAGGAAATTTTACGGAGCTGTCGCGTAATTTTTACGCTCGCATGAAAAATTACAATACTGTCACTTAAATTTTCTGAATCGATTCCGTAATCGGTGAGCGAACTGTGAGTTCCGTAATTTTCACTGAACATTTCTCTACGTGCGAGGGGCTATTCACTCCCGAAATCACGACGCCACTTTGGCACGAAATATTCCCGAAATCACGTGAAATCACCGAAATCACTTATGAAAATTATGGCGCAAGGAGCATTTTGAAGCTAAAAACAGGAAAAAATGAAGTTTTTCGTAGTTACACGGGGCAAAATCGATCGAGTCCGCGATTTTTCCTAGTTATTCCCATATTCCCACATATATTACAAACTGTTCAATAGGCCCAAGGCCCAGTGAAGATTTTTAAATTTCACCGACGTGTCCCCTCAAGACTATAATTATTTTTATAAATAATTTGTCAAGAGAAAGGTAAAACGTATTCAAAAATCGTTAGCACAGGGAATGTTGAAAAAAAATTATTATAGAAATTGATAAACTCATACATTTATTTTATTGAAATTATTTCAATTTTATGACATAAAAGTACTGCATCAATTTCAAATGAATTTGTTCACTTGACCTTGTAATCTTAATTTTCATCTGATGAAATCTCTATTTGGATCGAAAGAACATTTGCTAAGAACGGGAGTATGAATCAACTTCATCTTTAACCTTTTTTTAAATTCATCTCCATGAAATAATTGTTTTTTTCTTGCTCTTGTAGTCCATGCGCACCCCCTTGACACAAGAGAGCCTTTTGTATTCCCTCGACCAGAGAAATGCCGTATTTCAATCAAATAAAACTCCTTATTTTACATTTTTCCATTCATTTCAACAATTTTTTTTTGTGAAAATTAATCAACTCGTTCATTTGAATCGAATAAAATCTATTAAAATGAAATGAACTCCTACTCCGAGTGCAATTACACCTAAAATAAACTATTTTATACTATTCCATAAAGATATTATTCCTCTCACTACACTTTTTGCACTTTTCACGCAGCATTTGGGGGTGAATTTTAGAAATTCTTCTTCGTGCAATAAAAACAGAATAGTTGCGCAAGAAATTTTTCCTCCAGGTGCATAAATATTCCTCTTTCATCTAAAAATCCGAAGGTTACGCCAAAAAAGCCCCCCAACAACATTCAAGACATCATATAACACAAAAACATTCCGTCATCTGCGTAAAACTGGAGTAGAAAAACTACCGCAGGAATAGAAAACTGCTCCATATTTTAAGGGCGTTGTAAAAATATCTTACAATTTTTGCTCTATTTTAAACGTTTTTACGAGGGCTCCAAAGGAACATTTTTATGTGACCTTTTATTTCAGGTACACAGATGAGTTCGAAGCAATTTTTTTTCCTCAATTCGATTGATTTCACATGCAATCGCATCATTTCCCCTTTAAAAAAATTAAATCCCAGCGAAAAAACGATTAAATCACCATTTTTCGACTGATTATGTGCGTTAATTCGTGGTTGATGATGCAGAACCGCCGAAAAATAGTCTCAATATGAAAATATTTGACCTGAGAGGTCATAATTCACAAGGAATTTTACGAATTTCCGGAAAAATACAACCGTAAAAATAGAGCAAAGAACAAAATACCGGTTTAACAGGGAAAATATTCGCCCCCTCCCCAAAAAGTATGATCCCGTTTTACCCTGGGTCAATGGTGAATTTTCCACTCACTAACAATAGCCATATACCAATAAAAACCAATAAGATTTTCAAGAGCACGGAAATATGAATTATGACAAGAGGGGCCTGGTACCGTTGCTCCAATTTTGGTTTTAACGTTTGCACCGCCCTAGAACTAAAGTCAAATATTTCAATAGCCATGGAACACCCCACAAAAGTTTTATTTCACCTACCTCATTGTCTCAATCTGCAGGTAATCGAAAAGTCAAACCGAAGTCTACCTTTCCAATAATATCACATAATATAAAAGTTAATTTTAGGTTGTAAACCTTAATTCCCTAACAATTGAATAACATGAAAGATTTTAATGTTCAAATTTTTATGATTTCTGGAAGGGATTTCTCGGGAAAAATAATTCTAAAGGGAACGTATTTCCAGTTACTGAAAACAATTGACAATAATAAATAGGGGAGGGTGGGGTAAAATGGAAACTAGACTTTTTTAAAATTATTTGTAACTTAGGAACAAATTAATCAATTGAGCTAAGTTTAGGCTCGTTACAATGGGAAAGAATTGTTCTTTGTATTGAAAAAAAAATTAAATTTTATCAGCCTTTTAACACCTTATTAACATTTTTAAAAAAAGTCAAGTGTCCGTTTTACCCCAACCTCCCCTACCTAAATTATGCTAAAATAGAGAGATGATTCATCGTGAAATGTCGAAACAAGGAAAATTTTTTCAAACATTTCATGACGAAATGTTAAAAAAAATATTACTTCCGAGTGAATGACCATTATCACCACAAATAATTTCATTTCCACAAAATCTTCGGTATTTTTTCCACCGCCTGGAATTTACGCGTTCGAATAATCACGGATAATCAGTCCAGTGTGCATTTTCTCTTCAATTTCGTCACCATAAAAAGAAGAAATCAGGGAAAATAGGGGGAGAAGGCGATTTGACGATGTGAGGGGAAGCACGAGAGAGCCCAGGAAAGGCGTTACTCCCTAGGTGGGAGTAACCGAGGGTCGCCTCTGCCCAATGACGCGCTGCACACCCCAAGCCAGCTGCCCCCTCCATTCAACCCCGTATAAAATCCCTGCACCTCATTTTTGAAGCTCAGTCGCACTTGCGAAGTCAATGAGGATAAACTCTCTCCAGGATATTTCAGTGTTCTCTCCAGTTTTCAACGATTAAAAAGCAGTGATTAACTTCGTTAAATGTTACTTAAAAAAAATATATATTGTTGAGTTACTCAAGTTTATCGAGGTGATATTGTTGAAATCGTACAAATGAAGATGCAGGGATACCAGGGAAGAACGTTTGAGGATGACCAGAGGAATAGGAGAGATCAAGAGACTATTGTCGTGGATCTTGTGCCACCTCAGTATCAACTGAGTCCACCTCACAGTCCGCAAATTGGAAGTATCATTCCAAAAACTCCAGAAAAAGGTAAGATCAATTCAATAATTTTCCGAAAACTTGAGCTCAGAATTTCCCAAAAATATCAGTCCATCGATATTTTATTCAATTAACAAAATTTTAGTTTGTCAATTTTGCAATTCAACATTCAGTCAAACCATTCGAAGACTAGAGTCCAATCCCTTCCGAGAAAACCGACCTGCTTACCTTTAGTCTTAAACATTTCAATGTCCTTGTGCGTTTATTGCGGGTCAATAACGAGGGATTTACTTTATTACGGGTGCCTTCGTACCCTTCATCAATTAACCATTTTACAATTCAGGTAAGCAGATACAAATTTGCAATAGTCGATGGGCCAAAATATTTCCCAATTTGTACGAAACTATTCAGAAATATGTAAAAGATGTAAAAGGCAAAAGTTGTTGTCTCATAACTTCCGACAAAAAACGCAAAACTTTCGATTGTTACCTTTTAGCGGCGGTTCAAAGACAGGACCTCCCAGTGTTCCCTTTATCGTCGGCAAAAGGTCCTTGGCAATGCAATGCGGTAAACCCCCACACAGAATCTGACCATTTGTCTTTTTATTGTCCCACAGATGCATCATCCCCAAGCAGTCACCAGTCGCAGTGTCCGCAGCCATCACTAGCCAGCATGGATCCAAATATTCGTCGTTACCGTACAGCCTTCACACGTGAACAATTGGCACGTTTGGAGAAGGAATTTCATCGTGAAAATTACGTCAGTCGTCCGAAAAGGTGTGAACTTGCTGCCGAACTACACCTGCCGGAGTCAACAATCAAGGTAAGCATTATTCACCATTAATGTGATTCTCAACATATTTAATTTTTCAAGCGGTAGTTTGTTTGATCGTCGATTATAGCTTTCAAGACATTCTCTGTCGGTGGGATCTTTCAACCGCTGGGTAAACACATACCCATGGGTATATATGCACAAAGGGAGGTGTCAAGCGAGTCAATTAGCATTTGCTTTTTTCGGTACATCAGGAGTAATAAATGTATTCGTAATTCCGGGGCTTTTATTTCAGAGGAATTCAATCTGTCTTAAAGACCCCGTTCCCTCGGGCTTTTCTTCTTCATAAAACAGACACAGCATCTGAACAATTGTCTGTTTTTGTAATGTTACAGGTGTGGTTCCAAAACCGTAGGATGAAGGACAAGCGTCAGCGAATGGCGATGGCTTGGCCATATGCAATGTACACTGATCCAGCGATAGCAGGTCTCCTTGCAGCAGCAACAGCGGCCATGGCACCGTCCCCTTATCACTCACCCCCAGTGCCTGCTGGACACCTCGGCGTTAGCCCGAGTTATCCAGCAGCAGCTGCAGCAGCTTATTACGCAGCTAGATATCATCCATATGGAAATACCAACGGTTCGTCACTTCATCGGCCCCATCCCCAGTCGCCGGCATATCCACCGCATCCTCATCTTATGCAGCCACACCATCCCCTGCCACCCCTTCATCTACCTATGGCCAACGTCAACAACTTTGTCGCCACGCCCACCGGTCAGGGAGCTAATGCACCAAGACCCGGAGGTGAATACAGACCTGCGCACGTGCCCGAACTCAGTCCTGCTCATTCGGACGCCTCGAGCGACTGCGACTGCGCGGGATCACTTCATCATCACCATGGACATCATCTTCAGGGGGGTGATAAGGCCTCACCACCACTCAAGTTGCCGGTTGGACTCAATCTTGTGGGACTTCCTGCGCAGATTCAGAGCATTCAGAGTGCATTCGAGAGCAAGCACGGGGGGTATCATCATGGAGTCATTGGATCCCCTACTGTGCAAACTACCAAGATTGAACCACCCAAGCTTTTCCAACCTTACAAGAGTGATATCACGGAGAAGGCGTGAAGGATTGTGATGCCTGGGGGGAGTTTGGGGGTTGTGCAATCGAGATCTGGAGAGTTGTAACGGGTCTTCAATGATACTTAGTTTAATGAATTTGTAAATAGGGGGAATTGAGGATGTACAATAATTGTACAAACAATTGTAAATATGTTTTTTATGCTTTCCGGTAGGAGTGTCGGTGTCGCGGTGCGAATAAATTGGATAGCGTTTAGGTTAAGGAAATTTTAACTTCTCTTCATGTCGATAATTAGGGGTAGGTTTATTTATTGTGACGCCAAATGTGAATTATTTCTTTTGAATCTATGTGTGTACATAATTGGGAAAGACAGAGGGAAATAAATATTATGTATGAAATTACTCGACATCTTTTTATTTTTATGATAGTAATATCCGTATAGCCTGGTACAACTTCATAAATATAACGAAAAGTAACAGCGATGAGTTTATGGAGTATCTTTGTATTTTGGTAAGTCTTAGTTCGAGGGAAAGGATTCTCTTGTTTTCTGGTTTTCGTTTTTGCTCGGAAAATAGTGAATTCATTTGGGATGTTTGATTGTTCCAATTCAAAAATTTATGGTGGCGTGGGAGAGGGGAGGATCACTTCATCATCTTCAGGGGAGTGATAAGGCGTCAGCACCTCTCAAGTTGTCGGTTGGACTCAATCTTGTGGGACTTCCTGCGCAGATTCAGAGCATTCGAGAGCAAGCATGGGGGTATCATCGTGGAGTCATTGGATCCACTCCTGTGCAAACTACCAAGATTGAACCACCCAAGCTTTTCCAACCTTACAAGAGTGATATCACGGAGAAGGCGTGAAGGATTGTGATGCCTAGGGGGAGTTTGGGGGTTGTGCAATCGAGATCTGGAGAGTCGTAACGGGTCTTCAATGATACTTAGTTTAATGAATTTGTAAATAGGGGAATTGAAGATGTACAATAATTTTACAAACAATTGTAAATATGTTTTTGTGACGCCAAATGTGAATTATTTCTTTTGAATCTATGTGGGTACATAATTGGGAAAGACAGAGGAAAATAAATATTATGTATGAAATTACTCGACATCTTTTTATTTATATGATATTAACATCCGTATGGCCTGATACAACTTCATAAATATAACGAAAAGTAACAGAGATGAGTTTATAGAGTATCTTTCTATTTTGGTAAGTCTTAGTTTGCGGAAAAGGATCCTCCCGTTTTCTGGTTTTGGTTTTTGCTCGAACAATGATGAATCAATCACAGAAGCTAAATTGTTTGAATTCCAAAATTGATGTAAGTATTGTGGGTGGATTAATGCACATCGTTTAACGCCAGTCTCGTGTCGAAGGGAGAGAATGTCGGATGTAAACACAATGGTTTAAAGGCAATAACAGAAGTGCAGGGGAGGGATTAGCTTTATAGAGAAGCGATTTAAAATGAGCAGTTGGTTGGCTTGTATTCCGAGGTCCAATTAACTCTCCCCCTCCTTTTTCTAGGGACGATTCCGCCCTGTTTCACAACTTATCTCCCCCAATTCTCCTGGGTATCCCCCCTTGACATGACTATTTCATAGCTGTGAACATGAGAGGGAGGCCAGATTATTTCGGATAAACGCTCGGATGAAACAACATTCTTCGGGAAATTGACGAAAAATTAGGGCTGATAAGAGATTTTTTTTTAATCTATTTCTAAAGAAGATTTTTATTGATTCTGCATTCTTTTACTGATTTTTTTGTTTCTTTATCTTCAGAACAGAATTAGTAGTGGTATAATAAACACCTTAGTCAACTAAAAGACTATCGTTTAATGGATTAATTTTTTACACTCATCAAAGTTAGAATTCATGGGAAAAATTTTCAATGATGAATCATTTATTTCGACTTTTTTAATTCATTTTTAATTAATTCAGTAGCGAAGCGGTAAACCAGGTTAAGCCGATTTTTATTTTGGTCAGTTTTTGATGAATATCTCGGAGTCTAAAAGAGGTAGCAAAATTTTTCTCATGACCTTTTTTGTCGGGTCAATTGAGGGTTATAAAAAAGAGCATGATAAAAAAATTTCCATCTCTTTTACATTCCGAGATATTCGTCAAAAACTGGCCAATAGTCAAAATCTACTTAACTCGGTTTACCGCTTCGCTACTGAATTTCAATAGTAACAAATTTTGGAGTGGTAAATTGCTTCATTTAATCATTCAATTTAATGACTCATCCAAAGTTAATTATATCAATTTTTTAGATTTTTATTGAAAAATTAATTTTTTTAGAGAGAATTTTAATCGACATCTAGTACAAATATAATAATCTACCTTAATCCCGACACTTTCAGAGATAATATTAACGCCAGTGGTATCTCACAGCTTCCACCCGCCCCAACAATTTTCCGAAAGGGTCTAGGTACACACCATAAACTCATAAAATCCCGAAATCCTGCACCGAGACTCGAAATACTCACAACTATAAACCCAAACAGAAAACAGCTAATCTACCGCCCATAAATACCCAATAGCCGTAGCGTAAAAAAATAATCGACAAAAAATTCTCAAACATTTTTTTTGCCGTAAAAATCTTTTCATATGGGGGGGCTGAGTCATAAAGCCTTTTGGGAAAAAATTGTAGAGTCAGAACTGTAAAAAAAAATTCCGTGCAGTTTTTTCGGATTTTTAGTGCTTAATTTTTACAACAGCTTGATGATTATTTTTTAGAAGTCAAATACTTTTTGTCGCTTTATTTTTTTATCATTCTACCTGAATTTTTATCGATTATACGTTTTTATTTCGGGAAAAGTACTTGTGTCTTAAATAGAATAGTAAAAAAATTAGTAAATGATGAATTAAATTGTAAAAACGTTTTCGAAATTTAAATTGTAAACGATTAATTTTTTTATGGTTTTCAAAAATAGATTGTTCGAAAATTATTTATGAGGTAGTTGGTTTTTTTCGAAAAACAAAATTTTTTAATTAAAAAAAAAGAGTGAATCCATCGGGGAAAAAGGGGAAGACGAATAGTGAATTTTTCTCCGTTGGCCCGGGAAAATTTACAGAACGTGAGGGTAATTTATGTCGAAACTGTAAAATTTATTCTGTATTCGATCAAAAATTATCCCAGTGAACGTGAATGATTGCTCAATATTGCTTATAATTTGTCTATGACGGAGAATGATTTTTTACCGAGTGCGAAATTTAAGGATTTAAGGATTTTTAGCCAGTGTCGGTACACGGAGAGAAATTTTTTAGAAAAATTCTAGTGCTAGCACGGGAAAAGAGGCGCAAAGTGACGGCCAGAAAAAAATTCCAGTGCCGGCACTAGAACTTTTATTGGGGAAAACGTGAATTTTTTCCCGTATTTTCGTGAAAATTTCATAGAAATCCCCAGAAATTTTACCAGAAATACCAAGAAATTCAACTCTAACAGCACTAGAATTTTTCACAACCGGTGGATTGTGATTTTTTCCAGTACTCGTACTAGAATTTTTCTAGAAAATTTCTCTCCGTGTAAATTGTCGGTAAATGTGTTTTTTTCATGGTCAAGCAATATTCTGTAATTTTTTCGGCTGACAGCAGACATATAAAACTAACTTTGAAAAAAAATTAATCGCAATAGTCTCGGCAGAAAAGAATAAACTCATTTTTCCCTATACGTTCAGTAAATTTTCCCGGGCCAGTGGAGAAAAATTCACTATTCGTCTTGCCCTTTTTCTCCCATGTATTTTTTTTTTAAATTAAAAAAATTTGTTTTTCGAAAAAAATACAATTACTTCATAAATAATTCTCAAAACCATAAAAAATTATGTTATGAAATTTATGTTCCAATTGATAATTCACCTACTAGAAGGCTCTAAAAATAGAAATAAAAATAGAAGGTAATGTGTAAAATCATATTGAATCCAATGGCCAGAGAAAAATCTGGGGTACCCGGGCAAAAAGAGTAAATATTTGAATGATTCTATCCCCTATAAGCGCATGTTAGCGCATGCATTTGGTGCTTTTTGTCTATTTCATTTCTAAATAATGAACATGGTTTGGTGAATTGAAATTTGTATCAAAGTGAAGGGAATATTTTCATCTCTCAGTTTTTAAAAAATCAATTTTTTTAAAGTACTTGCGATTTTGGATGAACATCCTCAATACATTTAAAGTTTGAATGATGAAAGGAAAGCTTATCACAAGTAAATGAGGTGATAGATCAGTGCACGCGAGAGCCTGCGCTGTGTATAAATCGGAATGATGAGGGAAAACCAGAAATTCGATGGAAAACATTTTCAAGAGGTGAATTGACGGCTTTTCATCGACAATATCTCCATGTTTTGAGTTTCTCCCGTGTTTGTTTTCATACTCAGGTCTCCAGGGGTTGCGATTCTGCAGTGGAAGCCCCCAGGAAAATGTCACCGTGGGTGGCTGTTTCCACGCTTTCACTATAATCTAAACGTCAAGGCGTGTTTCTCAAGTCTCTCTCCCTCTCCCTTTTCATTTTCAGTTTTGACTTTTCAATTAGCCACAGCCTCGCCTTCACCCAAATATTGTGCCTCAGTTAAATTCGTCATGCAGTTGAACCTTTTCGAGATTCAGCATCTTTCAGGAACAAAAAAATAGGTCTGGGTAAATTATTTACACTGATTTTTCGCGCATGTTTTACGTGTCTATTTGGCACGGGGCGCGATGTTTGTAGCAATATTTGGCCTTTTTCAAAATGAAGCGTAAAAGGACAAAGAAAGAGAATTTTTCCTGTGGAAATAGATTTTTCCATCTATTTCATTCTCTCTTTTTGATTTTTAGCGGTCAGGCAGTGTCGATATAAAATAACTTCACGAAACGTTCTGCTTTCAGAGATAGCAACTTTTTTTCACTCGTTTCGAAAGGGAATTATGGCACCTAAACGTCATAAACCCCTCTGAACAAGGGAAAATTCCTGACCGAGAGAATTTTACAACTTCTGTAAATAGAGTTAACGCTTCTCGTCAACCCTTTGGAGGCTCCGGAGGCGTCGGCTATATTGCCCCCAACAACTCTTTTTTTCTAACGTTTTTCCCCCCCGGACATGGGAAAATGGGACCCACTTTTTTTCCACCGGTTTTCACCGACTCGATTTTTTCAACCCGTTTTTTTGACCTACAAAAAAAGGGATAAGTACCGCTGTCGGTTGGGAGTAGCTTCTCCACCATTTTTCTCAGTCAGTTTCGAGGGAATTTAACAAATTTTTCACATTTTTGGGAAAATTCTAATATTTATTTTATTTGGGAGAGACAGATGTTGACGCTAACTCAACGATTTTTTAATTGTTGGAAATTATGAAAATTCAGGTGACTATTTTCCTACATTATAATTCTATTCGAAATTGAATTGAATGTGTAATGTGCAAGTTTTAAATTAGTTCAGGA